AGAAGGTGCTGCTCCCCACCAATAGATGGAGCCTCCCCGGGAGTGCTAGCAGTGTCTGCTCTTACCAGCACCCTTAGCACCCGCTCGGGCTGTTCCCTGTATAAAAAAAGTCTCAGCTCGGCCATAGTGTGGCGATGAGATGTTATGATCCGATGGCAGGGAGTCTGTCTCTTATACACATCTAGATGTGTGCTGCTCCCCACCAATAGATGGAGCCTCCCCGGGAGTGCTAGCAGTGTCTGCTCTTACCAGCACCCTTAGCACCCGCTCGGGTTGTTTTTTTGAAAAAAAAAAAAAAAGGGACGATGCTGTCTCTTATACACATCTAGATGTGTATAAGAGACAGTAATAATAATGTGGAAAAAACAAGACCTCAGAGGGAGGTATATCTTTCCATGTTTTTGTCTATGATACGGGGTCCATTTTGCACATTCCGGCCGGAGTAGTGCGAGGCCCACAGTTTATGAACCCCCAACCTGAACACTCGGTTGCCTTCAGTCACGGTAGACAGGCAGGGGGAAGCTTGTGGAGGGAGTGTATAGGACTTTCCACCGTGTCTTAATCTGAGACACTCTGTCGTTTTAGACAGAAAGTACAGATAGACGTATAGAATCAGTCTCTGCATCTAGCATGTAGCTGCATTTAAAACACTACTAGTTAGGGGCTCGCATCCTCAGGATTAGTAGATTAGCATAATAATTTCTTTTATTTTTTTCGTGGAACCCCAGGATTTTTGGTTGTTTGGCTTTGTTGGCCGTGGAGGCAAGTTTATTGGGGGGTCCCTTCTTCCGTTTACCTTTTTGTTGTTTGTTTGGCTTTTCAGGCCCTGGTGGCATTAGCTCTTTTGTGTACTAGCAGGGCTGTGGACCTTCAGGGCAGCGGTCTGGAGTTGGCCATTTCTGTCCCTAGATCTCCTCCCAATCCCTGCACACGTGTTACGTGCATATGACTTGTTGGTTCCAGGTTTCTCTCCGGGTTGTTTTGTACGAGGGATTCCCGGTTTCATGATCAAATTTTATAATGGAAGCCCTCAGGGCCCCTGAGGGCTTCCATTATAAAATTTGATCATGAAAAAAAAAAAGTTTATGAACCCCAGTGGGAAGCTCCACGTTTTTGGACAGATACACCGCCATATGGGCCTCAGTGGAGCAGTGGAGCTAGGCCCATATACCGCCATATCCCACTGGGAAGCTCCACGTTTTTTTTTCGATCATGAAAAAAAAAAAAAAAAAAAAAAAAAGTTTATGAACCCCAGTGGGAAGCTCCACGTTTTTGGCGGTATATGGGCCTAGCTCCACTGCTCACTCACCAAATGAGCAAAATCAGAAAGAAGCTTCCGCTGGAACATGGACAGATACACCGCCATATTTTTTTTTCGTTTTTTGTGCATGTGACGAGTAGTGGACCCAGGCCCTATAATGCGCACGCACAACAACGGCATGCTACGACGGCTCGGGCACATGAGGCCATGACAGTGACAGCAAGGGAACTCGAGCCGGAGAATATGCTTGTAACGGAATATGCTGAAAACCGGGGGCTGGGTCCCACGGAATATGCTGAAAACCAGGGTCCAGGTCCCACTAGAAGCGTTGAGTTTCCTCAACGCACGAATCTGGTCGTGTTTGTGGAGCTGTGCAGAGAATATCGTTGAGTTGAGTTTCCTCAACGGCACGTCTCCACAAACACGTCCAGATTCGGGCATTGAGAAAACTCAACGCTGCTAATGGGACCTGGCATCAGTAGCCTGGGCAGGAATCTGGACGTGTTTATGGAAAATCGCCTTGAGTTTTATGAACCGCACATCTCCACAAACACGTTGAGTTTTCTCAACCGCACATCTCCACAAGCACGTCCAGATACAGTTACGGGCGTCCAGGAAACTCAACGTTGCTAGTGGGACTTGGCCCCGAGCTGGTCCTTCCGGAGGTCTGTTAAAATTGGAGTTGGAGGAACAGAACTTTTTATTTTTTATTTTTTTTTGTTGAAAAACAATTCTCTCTTGAGGGGCGGGTGCAGCTGGCTCCAGGCTGTCCACAGTCCCTTGGCCAGCGGTGAGGACAGCTGTCTGCGAGCGAAGGAGGACATGAAGATACAGGACCAGACATCCTCGCCACGTGATAGGGAGAGCTCCTGTTGGATCAGGTACTCAAGCACCATGAGCCAGTTCCTACGTTCTGTTTGAGTCGCCGCTTTCAGAAGCCATTTGGTGAGCAGGGCGAGGTTTTGCTTTCTCGGATCTATCTCCCCAAGGCCTCCTTCAGTCCTGCCGGTCGTCACCTTGGACCATGCGCATTTGGTGATGTACCCCTGATAGCGTGCTGCATCCGCTGTCAGGTGCCTAGTGACTGCCTTAGGGATTAAGCAGACCGCTGCTATGTACCAGAGTTGAGCAAAGACGACTGAATTTATGAGGAGGGCTCGTCCGAGGAGCGACATACCGACTGCAACCCGACATCGCTGCAGTCCAGCTTGAGTTTTGGCTTGGAGAATCTCATTTTGCTTCGGTCTTGCATCTGTTAAGGAGACTTGCACTCCCAAGTAACGCTCCGAGAGGTCGGGGGGTATTCGCTTCATTCCCCAGTCTTGTCCCGACAGATCGTAGTCGTCGGGGAGGAAGTATACTGATTTGCTCCAATTGACCTGGGCTTCAGAGAGTGTGGCATAGGCGTCAAGGTTATCTTTAGCCTCTTGCATGGATTCCGGTGTAGCCTCCATCACCAGCAGGAGGTCATCAGCTATGGCTCCAGTTAGAAGAGTTTCTCCGGTGCTGAGGCTCAGGCCTTGGATGCGCTGTGATGCTCTGAAGTAGTTTAGGAGGACCTCCATTTGAACAGCAAACAGGAGTGACGCTAGGGGGCAGCCTTGCCTTAGGGAACGCATCAGCGAGAAAGTAGGTGAGAGGAAGCCATTAACGTTCACTGTGGCCGTTGAGTCGGTATAAAGTTCACTCACCCATGCACGGTAATTCGGCCCAAAGCCCATGTGCTCGAGAGTGGCGAGCACGAAGGACCAGTTCACTCGATCGTACGCCTTCTCAAGATCGAGCATTGCTGCCACCACCTCCCTCCTTTCTCGTTGTATGATTTCCAAAGCTCCTATAGCCGCCAATATGTTTTCTGCGATTGAGCGCCCCTGTACAAACGCGCCTTGGTCCACATGAACGAGGCTGGGGAGATACGGTGCCAGTCGACGCAGTCGTCTAGCAAGGAGCTTGGCTAATATCTTGTACGACACGTTTAGTCTTGAGATGGGTCGCCAGTTTCGAATGTTGGACTTATCACCCTTCTTGTAGATTAGTGTGATGATCCCCAACTTCATATCTTCGGTCATGGATCCTCCCTCCAATACGCGATTGTAGAGAGAAAGCAGCTCCGGTCCAATATGTTCCCAACAGGCTTCATAGAATTCGACTGGCAAGCCATCTGACCCGGGGCTCTTACCACGTGCCATGCTTTTGACCGCTTCCCATAACTCTTCCAAGGCGATAGGACGCTCGAGGATAGCTTGCTCTTCCGAGGACAGGCGTACATGAGTGTGTTGCCACATGTCGTGCTCATCTCTGAGTTTCTGCAGCGTTAGATCCGGCTGTCTTCTGCTTCTCAGTATATCACTGAAGTAGGCCAGAGCATGCTCCCCGATTTCCGAGGAGCTCTTGGCAACTGCTGCCTCCGGAAAGAAGGGGTGTTGTAGCTCCCTTATCAGTGCGTGAGCCCGCGGTGGGCATAGGCGCTGAAAGGTTTCTTTAGTAAGTCTGTCACCAGTAATCATCCCCTTCTCTTGGGCTCTCCTTGCCCGCAGCATTTGCTGTTCCACTTGCAGTTCCTCTAGTCTTTGCAGCCACAGGTTCCTTCTGCGTTGCCAGTAGAGTTCCGCCAAAGGTCCCCTGTCCAATTCTGCCTCCGCTTCCGCAATCATGGTACGACACTCTTCTTCTTGTTGCCGTCTGGTTCTTGCCTGTATTCTTGAAAAGGTGTCTAGGGCCCGCGTTACGATCCGGAGACCCATCTGCAGCCAGCTTGCTTCTGTGTCGAAGGTAGGTCTTGCTTGCTGCCAATCCCTCCAATGCGCTGCTACCCAATCGGTGACCCCTGGAAGATTAAGGAGGTCTGTATTTAACCGGAATGTCCCAGGGCCTCGAGCGAGATTTGTTGCCAGCTCAAAATTAGCTGTGAGCTGGCGATGATCGGACAACGATTCAATGCTACAGGCGACGGTAGCCAGGGCCTGCCACGGGTCCCCCTTGGCCAGGATGAGGTCAAGTCTTCTCTTGGGTGGCGGCCTGTTTTCAGATTGCTGGGAGGAGAACCAGGTGAAGCCTGACTCAGTTGGATGTGTGGTACGGAACATGTCTGTAAACCCTCTACTCGCCATAAAATTGCTCAGCATCACTGCATCAGTCTTCCTCGGTGCCACCTCGGGGGAGTCGAGCCCAGGTGTAAGAGTGACATTGAAGTCACCTGCCAAGATAACGTTATCCTCGTCAGGTACGATTGCTGGTAATTCCTCAAAAAAGGATCTCCGCTCAGCGGGCTCCGCTGGTGCATAGATAGTCATAAGGGTCCAGGCCTCAGTCCCCAGCTGAATCTGGACCCATGCCCAGCGTCCCCAAATGTCATACTCCTGGTCCAAAATCTCTGCGTTTAGATTTCTGTGAAGTAAGATGGCACAACCTCCTCTAGTGTCTGAAGCCGGAGCCCAGATCTGTGGCCCTTGCCACCAATTCTGGATCTGCTGAATGCGATGCTCATCCAGCTTGGTCTCCTGCAGGAACAGTACCTGAATTCTTTGACCATGTACCCAGGTTTTAATTCTTGGTTTCTTGTGCCGTCCAGTCGAATCCCCCAGTCCCCGCACGTTCCAGGTGCCCACTCTAAGGCTGGCCATGGGTTTGGTCTTGTGCGGTGGGCATTTGGATCCGCTGCTCCTCTTCTGGTTGCTGCCTGGGCTGCCTTGGTCTTCTTGCTGTGTCTGCATCCTGGGGAGCTCCCCAGGCTGCCAACAGCGTACTTCTGAACCCTGCTGATTGCGGCTGCTTGTCCGTTGCTAGAGTGTTACAGAAGTCTACAAGGAGCTTGACATTAATATCGTCAGTAAGGAAGACGTCTTGCAGGTCCGTGTTTGCAGCTGAAGCCAGCCAGGTGGAGGGTAGCCAAACCACTCCCTGTGTGGCCAGCAACGCTGCAGCATCAAGGCTCACCTTGACATCCAGCATTCCAATGGAAAAATGCCAGCTTCCCCCCGCTGCCGCAGCTATGGTCTTTCGGCCAATGCGTATCCCCGGAATCAACCGAAAGGGGAAGCGATCCACGATAAAAGTTGCAGCAATCGCTTTGATGGCCTCTTTGGATGTTGGTGAAGCGCTAACGGCAATCGTTGGCACAACCAGCTGTCCTTTATCTGTCCGCCTGGACATAAACTTAGTGCCCTGGGGAAACAGCATGAAGCACAACAGTACCAATTGATGTCGAACCACACCTGCTGCTGCCCCTGCCCTGCTGCTGGAAGGCTGCGCTGCCAGAGGAACTACTTGTGCATTTGGAGGTGGCGGCAGTGGGCCTTGGGGCAGAAACCCAGGGCCTGTGGCATGTGGGGCGGCTGCGAAGAAATCTATGTCACCACCCTCCTCTTCTTGCGTGATTTGGCCATCTCCATCTTCATTCATTCTCCTCTGCTTGAAGGGGGTACGCAGCACCAGTCTTTGGTCTCGCATTGCTGCATCTGCTGACGCCGGCATGATGGAGGAGTGCTCTGCAACCAGTCTTGGGTCTTCACCGATACGGCCAGTTGTTGAGCGTGTGTCCCCTTGCACGTTTCCACTTGTGTCAGTTCCTATGGGTGGGTGCATTGCGAATGCAGGGTTAGAGTATATACTGAAGTTCTGTAGTGATTGGTGGTATTGGGTTGGCTGGGTAGCTGGAAGTCCGGTGCTGGCGCTCGTGGTGGGCTGCAGGAGGTTGGGTGGCGGTGCCATAGGGAGAGCCGGCCGGGGTGGGGGTAGTCCGGGCAGCGGGGGGTATCCGTAGTGTGTGGGAGCTCCAATGTGTAGAGTTGGTGGAGGAGGGTGGTGTGTGATGGAGACGAGTGGTGGCGACCTGGCGAAGACTGAGCTTCTCTGCTGAAGCTGAGAATTGGAGCCTTCACTGAATGAGGGGATTGACTGTGTTGCAGGGGCTATAGAAGCTGTTGGGTGTGGCTGTGGTTGGTAGTGCGCGGGGATGTGCGCTGGGTTCTGCAAAGAGGATTATGGTAAGGGGGGGTGGTAGGGGACCAGTGTTCCTGCCACATGACCAGACGGGGGGGGGGGGGGGGTACATTGCTGTGCATGAGGGGTTGGGCACTGGAAACTGACAGAATGGGCAGATTTTGGTGGCTCGGGTGCTGGGGTGCTTGCGCTGCGGAGGGTCCTTGCGGGTGCGGGTGTGGTGGGCGGTTCTGTGTGGCTGCAGTTGGGGCTTGGGGCTGTCTGTGCTGCGTTCGATTGTTTTGCATCTGTGGACGTGGCGAAGGGGGGGGTGCTCGACCCCCTCCTCGGTTGCTTCCCCGGCCGCGGCCTCTGGATCTTCTTCTAGGTGGCATTGGCTTGTTAAAGCGAGGGCAGTCTGGATCGAACTCGTCATGAAACCACCAGAGACATTTCTGGCAGAAGATTGTATCTTGATTGGCAAACTGAATTTTGAGGATCTGTCCTAAAGGCCTATGGAGGGCAACCCACTCCATGAACGTGTTTCTGACTGAGGGATCACAATCTATTTTAACATTCCCTAGTCGTGGTTCGTCTTCCCGTTTTTCGGGGGGGTGCATGCAGATGATTGGGCCCATTAGACGCTGGACTGCGTCTCTCAGCGAGAACATAGCACCAAGAGGAACCCTCAGTGCTATTATTTTGAATTTGGCAGCTGATTCCGCATTTCTGAGCTGTTCCAATTCCTGCTGCGTCATCCATGGACGGAAGGTCACTTTGACCAGTCCATCTCTCGTGGGAATGAAGTCCGTGCCCTTGGAAGTCAGCCATTGAGCGATCTGTTGTGTCCGTGCTATGTACGACATCACATTGGGCCCCTCCCCGTGTGTGCGCCCTCTCCTTTGCGTCGGATTGAAATTAACGTCCTCGAACCATGCATCTTCATAGATGCGGATAAATTGCTCCCGCTGTGCAACCGAAAAGGTGGCCGCCCTTGACTCGAAGATGACAATAACTGTCCTTTCCTTGAGCCATGCAACTGTGGCTTCATCTACGTCTTCCCTTAAATTGAGGTAACCCACTCCGTCCACTATCTCTACATCGCCGTGTGAGAAGGATGTCTCCGGGAAGAGGCCGTCATCATAACAGCTGTCGAGGAGATTGCGAATTCTCGCAAGGTCATCAGGCTGAGGAGGATTTTGTGTTGGGGCTGCCATGCCACCCAGTTGGTAGCCTGCTTGAGGGCCCGCTTGTGGTAGCTCATTTCCATTCATTATGAGGTCAATGCAGCTAGTGGGTGAGACAGTCCTAAGTACGAGGCGGAGGGAGAGAGGGAAGGTGTGGGGTCTCGCAGATGACTGGAAGGTAGGGGCGGATGGGCTGTGGACACGAGGGATCTGATGAAACAATGAGTTGTATAGGGGGGGGATTATGGGTGCACGATGGGCGAGAGGCAGATCTTGTAGGGCTGCAGGATAAAGTGGTGAGCCTACGCGGGGGATATGCTTGACCCAAGGTAAAAGAAGCCAGGAAAAGGTTAACCCTGGCTCGAGTGTTGGGCAGACAGTAGAGGTTGACGGTACTAGAGAGTCAGGGATCTATGGAATACTTCTCGGCAGGGAAGAATAACATTCGTGTGCTGATGAAGGAAGGCGATTATATGTGAAATAAGTAAGTCAAAGTCGGGGTCGAGATGTAGTTATTCAACGAGTGGGACTAGAGTATTAGTGATTGGTAGGATGTTCCAGGTGTGCCGGGGGTCGGTCGTAGTCAAAGCAAAGCAAAATGGGTTAGGTTATAGAGAGATCTGTTACTAGGGAGTTAGGGATCTATGGAATACTCTCGGCAAGGAGGAATAGCATTCGTGTGCTGGTGAAGGTAGGCGATTATATGTGAAATAAGTAAGTCAAACCGGGGTAGAGATGTAGGTATTCAACGAGTGGGACTAGGGTATTGGAGATTGTAAGATGTTCCGGGGGTGACAGGGGTCGGTCGTAGTCGAAGCAAAGTAAAGAAGAAGAAAAACCTCAGGTCAACGCTAACCGAAAGCGTGGTAGGCGATGGGTTAGGTTATAGAGAGATCTGGTGAAGGTATAGACAGGGGATAGTAACTCGGAGTAAGAATAGGTACACGTGAAATGGCACGTCACCTGACTCTTCATGCCGATGGAGCCTCAGTGTGTCCTGTAAGGTACCGAAACTGCCGAAGAAGAAGGAACTGCCCTAGTCGGCGGGCAATATCTCACAGTGCTTTCCGGGGACAGGGCGTCAACGCCTGTCCGTATTGCTCATAGTACACATGAAGTATTGGTAAAATCTGACTCGTCCACTCGCTCCCATGCCCCCCCAATTTCCATGGAGACGGGTTGGCTTGGCGATGGTTGCCTCGCGGGGTGGTAAGCGATGCTCACTTTCGTCGGCTTCGTGCCAGCTAGGTGAGTGACGAGACCGGTTCTCCAGAACCGGTAGCGCTGTGGCGGAGCGCTCCGCACCGGCCGTAGCGCCTCCCTTCTACCCAAGACCCAGGTTTAATGTTGGCCATGAGCCCGAAAAACAATTCATTACACATTTAAAACAAAGAGGCATACCTTTCTCGGCCTTTTGGCTAAGATCAAGTGTAGTATCTGTTCTGATCAGTTTAATATCTGATATGTGGTCCATCGGACCACAAAAAAAAAATAAAAATAAAAAAAAAATGAGGCTGACCTCCTCACAATCTGGCCGGTAAGTCGACCTCACAATCTGGTCGGTACTGGGAGCCTTACCCAGCTTGGCTTTTGACGAGATCCCTGATGGAACCCGAGTTAGTGCATGTCCCTACCTACCGTTGATTGAATCATTCAGTTGTGCTATCGAAGCGGAGGAGAAGGTGCTGCTCCCCACCAATAGATGGAGCCTCCCCGGGAGTGCTAGCAGTGTCTGCTCTTACCAGCACCCTTAGCACCCGCTCGGGCTGTTCTTCTTCTTCAAAAAAAAAAAAAAAAAAAAAAAAAAAAAAGGACTCACTCGACGCTGATACTTTCAATGGTTGACAACTTCGTTAGTCTAAATGAGAAATTGGGGGGGGGTTGGTGACCAAGAGGATAGTTACAGCTAATCTAGTGCAGCTATAGAACTTCACAGACCCACCAGCGGTCTGACCCCGGCTTAACATCGACCGAGAGGAGCTTCTTGCTCCTAGAGGTGGTAAATTGACACTCTCCTACCCTCTCAACCGCCTGCAGCTTACAACAACTGCCTACAGGAACCAAGTGCCCTGGTTCGTTTTTTTTTTGTGTTTGTAAACGGGCGACTACCTTGAGATATCATCATTGAAGTTGACCGGCCCGAGTAATTCAGAATTATGTTATTCTGGGCATCTGATTGTTGAACATGATGGACTATGGCGGCGCGGCGCAACTGGGAGCGCTGCGCCGCTCCGCTATCGGCTTGGTTCGTTGCGCGCTCGTAGTGCTTCGTTGACTTCGTTTTCTGGCGGCGCGCCCTCGGGCGATCTCACATGCGCAGATAGGCGATGGTGGCTGGGGAATCTTCTGCCTAGTGCACGGTGCACACCTTGAGTGGCCACCGATGTGTAGGCTGCTACTGGGACGCTCTTCCAGCTTTGCCAATTAGGGAAAGTCGTCTTTAAGTTAGGCTCTGCGCTTCGTCCGAGTGGTGTCGCAGGTTGGCACGCTGGCGAAGGGGAGATTATCGTTGGAAGAAGGATGTTCTCCATGAGTTTTTGTTCCGCCATAGTGAGGCCTTGTTCCTCTGCTCCTGCGCAGTGTTGAGGGGGGTGGTCGGGAATCGCGGGCGGCAAGGGGGGAGCGCGTTCTCACGTGGAGTGGGAGGAGGGAGATCGTTCAAGTGCGAGCATTCGGAAGGGACTGCAAGACGCTCGTCATCAACACCATCATCATCCTGTTGTCATCATAGGGCACTGTGCGTCATCATCATCATCATCTTCACAATCATCATCATCATCATCATCATCATCATCATCATCATCATCGTCGTTATCATCATCATCATAATCATTATAATCATCATCATCACTACTGACATCATTATCATCATCTTCATCATCATTATCATATCACCATCATCATCATCATCAGTTTGTAATCATAGGGGCTGTTAATGATCAGCATCATCATTCTGTTTTCATTTTCATCATTACCATCATCATCATCAGTTTGTTATCATTAGACGTTGCTCTTCAAGGCATTGTTTGCCTTTTGCATCAGCAGGTGAGTTGGGCGTCACCATCATCCTCATCATCATCATCTTCAGGGTGCTGTTCATCGTCATCAGCAAAATAAAAAACTCATCTACCTTTTCATCGTAAGTTTAAAAAATTTCTGATTCCTCCATTCATATTTTAGGAATCCTATGGGGTTATTGCATATTTTCAAAGAGGCCCTGCTTTTAACTGTAGTCGGCTGGATCGGATTGTTCCAGGAGGGCTAAGCGGTAGGAAGGGGGTGGGGGGAGCTCTATCTTGCAGGGGCATCACAAGGTGGGGGGTGATTGTCTCAAAGAAGGTAGGGGCGGAGTAGGGGGTTGCGCTATTCTGGGGCAGGGGCTGGTGCGTGGGTCAACATCAGCCCCTGCAGAGGCAGAAATGGGCAAGGGGCGGGGGGCCATGCTTTAGGTGGGAACTGCGTGCTCCTGGGGAAAGGGGGGTAGAGGGTTGGTCCTATATTGGGGCCGAGGGAGAGTGGATGACCCACCTCGACGGAGGCAGTGTAGGGCTTAGGGGGTTGGGGCAAGGGGAGGGAGGGGCGATCTCTCTTGAATAA